TTTKRAAACGATTCCGTTTAATTAATTTCGTCTTGGACATCTCAAAAGAATGAAGACGGTTGATGTCGACAAGGAACAAGGATCGATCGCACCGATTTCCARAGGTCAATTCCGGAACAATAACACTCAAAATAGAACGAGTGATCGACGTAAAGGAATTCACATTCTTTCACGTGAAAATCGAATACAGGTCTCACATGTGTTTTAACTTTCCCGGGCATATTTCGCGCCATTTTCTGATACACATGTTCATGATATTCGATAGATATCGTCCACCGGGCGTTGGAATTTGAGTTCAATTTTGACAGCCTAAGCTTTTCCCTTATTAGAGGACGTATTTTAAATATGTGATATTTACGTTCGTGTATATCAATAATCTACACTGATCAAATACCCAATCATATACGTCAGAACAGTAACTAGAATTGCCCAAGTCGGATTCTCCTTTTTACTTACGGAAATCGGTACATAATAAGCGCAAAACGCGAGATTTGAGACGAGAGTCGAGCATGGAAAGAAGTGTCTTAAGTGCGACGTGATTTTCGCAAAATAAAATACCTGTGCCACAGTTATGTGCTAAAAATATTTCAATGTGCGCACTTGTTTTTCCGGATGTTTCTTGGTAGTTGAAGAAGGAAATGTTATTTCGACCTTCTTGACAACGAATTTCCGATTGATTTGGACTCTCATCCAACTTGAGCGCAAGAAGAAAGTTTTTCACATTCCTCAAGCGTTACTGTTATTATTATTTTATTATTTGATGCAAATTTTAGGTGTATCCAGTCCCTTCCAACCTCCACGACAGAACTGCTGGTTTCATACTGTTAGACACTTGAAAATATTTAATGTGTTTGTGATTAACTGATTAAAATCACAAACACATTTTTTATATATATATTTTTTCTGTTGGAACATTTAATGAAGAAAATGTCGTTTGCTTTTCCCCCTTAAAATGGATATATAATAATCGTTATTTTCTTTGAGAATCTGACAAAACTTACACAATGGATGTGATTTTTTTCACCAGTTTTCATGAACAACAACCTTTTCAAAACCCGTTGGTATTAGATTTCGAAGGAAGCAATTTAATACTGGGAAACCGTCCCGGTGCCAAAAGGTTAATCATTCCTACGTCGATAAAAAAGGGAACTGGCGGCTCAAGAGGAAAAGTATGGTGCAGTTTAAAATACTATATAGCATATATGCTTATAATATTGACTTCGAAATGTGTCAGTATTTCTGTCTATGAGAAAAATTGAACATTGCTACACGTTATTAGTGCTAAATTTGTACTATAATCTGCTTGAAAACTTACTATCATTAAGAGTGATATTAAGCAGTGATGTATTGGAAATTTTAAGTTAAAGTAGGTTCCGTACGCTCTAAAATACCTCCGTAAGAAACAAGAAACTTTGCGTTACATTAC